TGGCACCATATTCCTTATATAGTCTACTACTTTTGACCAGCACACTTAATAGGGAATCGGTTGCCATTCAGGACACACCCTATTTCTGTTGGGATATATGCAAAACATAATCTCTGTGTTCTGTTGACTGGTGATTGACGTGGTCCGTGTCATTCGTACGTTTGATAACGGGGTATAATTTAGATTAGGGAATTGGATGTGGGATTTCTCATTTATTGTGATATTAATTTAAACAGTTGGTTAGTTGGAGACAGCTCCTCAGAATGAGCAGTAGGGATACAGTGGGGGGAAAAAGTATTTAGTCAGCCACCAATTGTGCAAGTTCTCCCACTTAAAAAGATGAGAGAGGCCTGTAATTTTCATCATAGGTACACGTCAACTATGACAGACAAAATGAGATTTTTTTTTTCTCCAGAAATCACATTGTAGGATTTTTTAATGAATTTATTTGCAAATTATGGTGGAAAATAAGTATTTGGTCACCTACAAACAAGCAAGGTTTTCTGGCTCTCACAGACCTGTAACTTCTTCTTTAAGAGGCTCCTCTGTCCTCCACTCGTTACCTGTATTAACGGCACCTGTTTGAACTTGTTATCAGTATAAAAGACACCTGTCCACAACCTCAAACAGTCACACTCCAAACTCCACTATGGCCAAGACCAAAGAGCTGTCAAAGGACACCAGAAACAAAATTGTAGACTGCACCAGGCTGGGAAGACTGAATCTGCAATAGGTAAGCAGCTTGGTTTGAATAAATCAACTGTGGGAGCAATTATTAGGAAATGGAAGACATACAAGACCAATGATAATCTCCCTCGATCTGGGGCTCCACGCAAGATCTCACCCGTAGGGTCAAAATGATCACAAGAACGGTGAGCAAAAATCCCAGAACCACACGGGGGGACCTAGTGAATGACCTGCAGAGAGCTGGGACCAAAAGTAACAAAGCCTACCATCAGTAACACACTACGCCGCCAGGGACTCAAATCCTGCAGTGCCAGACGTGTCCCCCTGCTTAAGCCAGTACATGTCCAGGCCCGTCTGAAGTTTGCTAGAGTGCATTTGGATGATCCAGAAGAGGGATTGGGAGAATGTCATATGGTCAGATGAAAACCAAAATATAACTTTTGGTTAAAAAACTCAACTCGTCGTGTTTGGAGGGCAAAGAATGCTGAGTTTCATCCAAAGAACACCATACCTACTGTGAAGCATGGGGGGTGGAAACATCATGCTTTGGGGCTGTTTTTCTGCAAAGGGACCAGGACGACTGATCCGTGTAAAGGAAAGAATGAATGGGGCCATGTATTGTGAGATTTTGAGTGAAAACCTCCTTCCATCAGCAAGGGCATTGAAGATGAAACGTGGCTGGGTCTTTTAGGGATGAAATGATTCCCCCAAAAACCCCCCGCCCGGGGGGAACGAAGGAGTGGCCCAAGAAACATTTCAAGGTCCTGGAGTGGCCCTAGCCCCGTTTTCCAAAATCCAACCCCATAGAAAATTTTTTGGGGGGTTTAAAAAACTGTGTTGCCCACGACCAGCCCCCAAAAAATTTACTGGTTTAGAGGAGATCTGCTGGGGAGGGGAAGGGCCAAAAATACCAGCAAAAAAGTGTTTTGAAAACCCTTTTGAAAAAAACAGAAAACGTTTTACCCGTGCATTTCCAACAAAGGGATTAACCCCCGGATTTGGGGAAAATTTTTTATTTAAAAAATCCCTTAAATTTTTCCAAACCCTAATTTTCAAAATAAATTTTAAAAAAAAATCCTACAATGTGATTTTTTTGGGGTTTTTTTTTCCCCTTTTGTCTTTTCATAGTTGACGTGTTTCCTAAAGGAAAAAATTTCAGGGCCCCTTTTCAAACTTTTTTTAAATGGGAGAACTTTCACAATTGGTGGCGAAAATACTTTTTCCCCCCATGTAGATGTCTTTTTTTCAGAGGGGGGGTGAGAGGGGGGGGGTGAGAGGAGGGGGTGAGAGGAGGGTGAGAGGAGGGTGAGATGAGGGGTGAGAGGAGGGGTGAGAGGGAGAAGTAAATGCAAGTAGTCGATTAATGAAATTTTGTGTTTGATTGTAGGGGTCTTCCGTTTTAGTAAAACTAGGGAGTTAATAGGCTCTGTTTGCCTTTAAATTTTAGCCTGTTTTCCGCTGTGTTCGGTCTCACCACCCAATTCCCTTTAAATTTTGGGCCGTTTTGACCAATTTTTACTGTCAATGTATAAACAAATACAGAATATAGATTTTGCATATACTGTAGATTCACAAAGAATAAGGGGTTTTTTTAATTTCCCTTCTCTGCCTCCCCTAGTTATATCTTTTATCTCTCTCTCCTTTTTTTTCCCCCCCAGGTTTTATTTTTTCCCCATTTGTCTCTTCCCCCCTGCTTTATTACCTCTCTCTCTCTTCCCCCCCTAGTTTTTTATCCCCCCTATGTTTCTCTCCCTTTCCCCAGCTTTATCCCTTCTCTCTCTCCCCCCTCCCCCAGCTTCCCTTCCCCCCTTTTGTTTATCCCCCCTCTATTTCTCCTCCCCAAATGACACTAAAAATGAAAATACTGTAAATGATTAATATTGTATTTTCTGTGCTTATGGACTGCCCTCTTCAATTCAAACCACAGGTTTTCAATGGGTTTCAAGACATTATCCTTGCAAGGTGAGGTATTGCAAGGTCAATAATTTTGACCCCTATGTTTTTGAGAAAAAAAGTATTGTTAAACAAAATCTCTTTCTCTGAGCAATTATATTAGTATAAAATAATTTAACTTTCCAATTTTTTAAGCATACAATATAGCTCAGTATTTGAATTATTTAATACTGTAATTGTTGCTAATCGTTATCAAGGGTGTCAATAATATTGGAGCCTAGTGTATAGATTTACACATTTATTTAAATCTACTAGCTGTAGAATTAGGCTCCTCCTGATCAAACCAGTGGGCTTTGCTCCTCCTGATCAAACCAGTGGGCTTTGCTCCTCCTGATCAAACCAGTGGGCTTTGCTCCTCCTGATCAAACCAGTGGGCTTTGCTCCTCCTGATCAAACCAGTGGGCTTTGCTCCTCCTGATCAAACCAGTGGGCTTTGCTTTAGAGAGCAGAGTAAACTGCCTTGTAATGCAGAGACATTTTTCCAAATGGCACCCTGTACAGTGCCTTCAGAAAGTATTCATACCCCTTGACTTATTTCACATTTTGTTGTTACAGCCTGAACACATTTTTTATTTTATTTTATTTATCTCACATCTACAAACAATACCCCATAATGACAAAGTGGAAACATGTTTTTAGACATTTTTACAAATGTCTTGAAAATGAAATACAGTCCCGTGTAGCTCAGTTGGTAGAGCATGGCGTTTGCAACGCCAGGGTTGTGGGTTCGATTCCCATGGGGGGCCAGTATGAAAAGAAAATGTATGCACTCACTAACTGTAAGTCGCTCTGGATAAGAGCGTCTGCTAAATGACTAAAATATAAATGTAAAATGTAAATGTACATAAGTATTCACACCCCTGAGTCAATAGATGTTAGAATCATATTTGGCAGCGATTACAGTTGTGAGTCTTTCTAGGTAAGTCTCTAAGAGCTTTGCACACCAGTATTGTACAATGTTTGCACATTATTCTTTTAAAAATTCTTCAAGCTCTGTCAAGTTAGTTGTTGATCATTACTAGACAGCAATTTTCAAGTCTTGCCATAGATTTTCAAGCCTATTTAAGTCAAAACTGTAACTATTTGGCTTGTGTTATAGGTTATTGTCCTGCTGAATGGTGAATTTGTCTCCCAGTTACTGTTGGAAAGCAGACTGAACCTGTGCTTAGCTCTATTCCGTTTATTTTTGTTATAAAAAAATCCCCAGTCCTTGCCAATGACAAGCATACCCATAACATGATGCAGCCACCACCATGCTTGAAAATATGAAGCGTGGTACGTAGTGATGTGTTGTGTTGGAATTGCCCCAAACATAACGCTTTGTATTCAGGACATAAAGTCAATTTCTTTGCCACATGTTTAGCATGTTTTGGAATATTTGTATTCTGTACAGGCTTCCTTCTTTTCACTCTGTCAGATGGTTAGTATTGTGGAGTAACTACAAGGTTGTTGATCCATCCTGATTTCTCCTATCACAGCCATTCAACTCTGTAACTGATTTAAAGTGACCATTGGCCTCATGGTGAAATCCTTGAGCGGTTTCCTTGCTCTCCGGCAACTGATTTAGGAAGGACGCCTGTATCTTTGTACGACTGGGTGTATTGATACACCATTCAAATTAATAACTTCTCCATGCTCAAGGGGATATTCAATGTCTGCTTTTTGTATTTTTACCCAGCTACCAATAGGTGCCGTTCTTTGCGAGGCATTGGGAAACTCCCTGGTCTTTGTGGTTAAATCTGTGTTGGAAATTCTCTGCTCGACTGAGGGACCTTACAGATAATTGTATGTGTAGGGTACAGAGATGAGGTAGTCAATTCCACTTAGACATTATGGGGTATTGTGTGTAGGCCAGTGACACTAAATCTCTATTTAATCCATTTTAAATTCAGGCTGTAACACAACAAAATTTGGAAAAAGTAGAGGGGTGTGAATACTTTCTGAAGTCAAAGAGCCCTGACCAAAAGTAGTGCACTACATAGGGAATAGGGTGCCATTTTGGACACCACCAATGCCTCTGCCTGACGCAACCATGTAATGTGCATTTAAGTGGTTTCTAGCCCACTGGAGGAGGGGCGTTATGAGCAGGCATTGGAAGGGGCTGGAGTTATCCTGCATCTGCTTACGCACATGATCTGTCCTTGCATGCTGCTTCCTGGTACTGCATCACTCAGGACGCAGGGCCACTGTGTTGCTTCCTGGTACTGCATCACCCAGGCCACAGGGTTACTGTGTTGCTTCCTGGTACTGCATCACTCAGGACGCAGGGTTACTATGCTGGTTCCTGGTACTGCATCACCCAGGACACAGGGTCACTGTGTTGCTTCCTGGTACTGCATCACCCAGGACGCAGGGTTGCTATGCTGCTTCCTGGTACTGCATCACCCAGGACACAGGGTCACTGTGCTGCTTCCTGGTACTGCATCACCCAGGGTCAGGACACAGGGTTACTATGCTGCTTCCTGGTACTGCATCACCCAGTACAGAGTCACTGTGTTGCTTCCTGGTACTGCATCACCCAGTATAGGGTCACTGTGCTGCTTCCTGGTACGGCATCACCCAGGCCACAGGGTTACTGTGCTGCTTCCTGGTACTGCATCACCCAGTACAGGGTCACTGTGCTGCTTCCTGGTACTGCATCATCCAGGCCACAGGGTCACTGTGTTGCTTCCTGGTACTGCATCACCCAGTACAGGGTTACTGTGCTGCTTCCTGGTACTGCATCACCCAGTACAGGGTCACTGTGCTGCTTCCTGGTACTGCATCATCCAGGCCACAGGGTCACTGTGTTGCTTCCTGGTACTGCATCACCCAGTACAGGGTCCCTATGTTGCTTCCTGGGACTGCATCATCCAGGACACAGGGTCACTGTGTGAGAATCAGAGATGTGTACTTACACCTCTCTCATGCTGCAAACAGCAGATCACACTGCATTTATTGTGTGTGTTTGTGTCTGCCCAGTAATAGCTGACTACTAGGGCTGGCACAGTAATTTTATAATCGTGTAACTTATGATTATGGATGAAGACCCTCATGAAAATAAAATAACTGTATAAACCGTTTTAATATGGACAAAACACCCCGTTCAAAGTAGGGTTGCACGATATTGGAAATAACTGACATTGCGATATTTTGTTTTTCTGCGATTATATATTGCGATATGAAAAAATACGGGATGTATGTATGATCCTCTGGGAAAAATGCAGTTTGCAAACAGCGACTTTTCAGGTGGAAGTCCTCATTAATAAAGTGTACGGTCAGACTTATGTAGGGCTCCGTTGTCCGGCTGGACCACAAGTCCGTTGTTGCTGTATAATATTCCACTTGTGACAGCTCTGTTTCAACTTGTGCCTTGCATTTCCCGTACAACTCTGGGATGGCAACTTGAGAAAAATAGTTGCGTGATGGCATTACATACCGCTTGTCACGCGACCGGATCATGTTTTTAAAACCCTCTTTGGTAACCGTGTTAATTGGTACCATGTCTTTGGCGACGTGAAATGTTATTGAATCTGTGATTTCTCTCTGCTGTTTGGAACCTTTCTCGTATGGTGTAATACTGGCAAAGGTTTTTGCTTTGGAGGGCATTGAGATGCTTTGCACTCGTCATACGAAGATTTGTGGTGCCGCCTTAAATGATCGAACAAATTGGTCGTGTTGCCTCGTGTTGTGGCAACAATTGCAAGGCACTCTCGACAAAGTACCTGTTTTTGGTCAACATCATCCTATCTGTAGCCGAAATATTTCCATATAATTGACGATGCATTTCTTTTTGCAACTAAATTCTCAATTTCAGTCTTTTTTGCCTGTTCCTCGCTCATCATTTCGTCACGCGCAAGCAGAGCCTGCATGGCAACCACGTGCAGCAACCAACTCCGTGTTTTAAAATAATAATAATAATAATAATAATAATAACAAACTGTGTATCCAATAACCCATACATCTGAGTTAGTTACGTTAAATCAGACAGATATAATGCTAGTTTAACGTTTTAAAAATATATATATTGTAGACTGATATATGTTTACCTTACTAAATCGCACGATGCATACATCGCAATGTCGATGCTGAAACGATATATCGTGCAGCCCTAGTTCAAAGGGACTTAAATATTTTGTCTTGCCCATTCACCCTCTGAAAGGCACACATACACAATCCATGTGTCAATTGTCTCAAGGCTTAAAAATCCATCTTTAACCCGTCTCCTCCCCTTCATCTACACTGATTGAAGTGGATTTAACAAGTGACATCAATAAGGGATCATAGCTTTCACCTGGATTCACCTGGTCAGTCTATGTAATGGAAAGAGCAGGTGTTCATAATGTTTTTTACACTCAGTGCATATTTATTTTGTCAAATTCATTTTCAAGTCGACAAACTTTAAGTAAAAGTAAGCCTGGTTCACATCTAACAGCCAAAATAAAGAGAAACAGAGGAGACAAAACCAGCCAATTTTAGATGTTTTTGTTGTTGAACAAATAGCTGACTGAAGACGGCCAGGCATTCAAAAAGATGAGATGAGCACGAGTCCCATTGCTGCGGGCTCTTTACAACGTGATGAAATGTTGTTGCTCCTTGTTTCAGCAAGGTATTGTAACCATGGAAATAATAAACGTATTCTATTTCTATAGTTGTAGCAATCATCAAATACAAATCACATTTTATTGGTTTCATACACATATTTAGCAGATATTATTGCGGGTGTAGCGAAATGCTTGTGTTCCTAGTTCCAACAGTAAATCTTGGTAACCTGGTTCCCGCTATTAAACCCTATGGTAGCTGTCCTAGCTATACTGTAGCTAGTGCTGTATCTACAGTATCTACAGTAATCCACATTTTAGTAGCCACAGTAATCCACATTTCAGTATTTACAGTAATCCACATTTCAGTATCCACAGTAGCCACAATAATCCACATTTTAGTAGCCACAGTATCCATACTTTATAAAGGTCTGGTCACGATGGAAGGCTATACAGTGAGGCAGCGCTAACACTTGTAGTTTCAGCAGTCAGCTTTAATACAGCTGGTTAACACTGACTGATGAGGTTATGTCTGCACTGTTGTTTGAAAGTCTAGCTAGCATGATTTTAATGAATGATTGATGGGAGAGATCAATCAGGTCGGGTAAAACACTAACAAACAAAGTCCAGTCAAGCTATCATTAGTCATCTCACAAATCAAATGCCCCACCCAAATATCCAACCAAAGAAACATCACACATCGAACCAAAATTATCTCAAATATACCACAAGATATACAAGATATCATCACATTAACTTATACTGAACAAAAATATAAACGCAACATATAAAGTGTTGGTCCCATGTTTCATGAGCTGAAATAAAAGATCCCAGAAATGTTCCATATGCACAAAAAACTTATTTTTCTCAAATGTTTCTCTCAATTTGTTTACATCTCTGTTAGTGAGCAGTTCTCCTTTGCCAAGATAAATCCTCCACCTGACAGGTGTGGCATTTCAAGAAGCTGATTAAACAGCATGAACATTACACCGGTGCACCTTGTGCTGGGGACAATAAAAGGCCACTCTAAAATGTGCAGTTTTGTCACACAACACAATGCCACAGATGTCTCAAGTTTTGAGGAATGTCCACCAGAGCTGTTGCCAGAGAATTCAAGGTTAATTTCTCTTCCATAAGCCGCCTCCAATGTCGTTTTAGAGAATTTGGCAGTACGTCCAACCGGACTCTCAACCGCAGACCACGTGTAACCACGCCAGCCCAGAACCTCCACATCCGGCTTCTTCACCTGCGGGATGGTCTGAGACCAGCCATCCAGACAGCTGATGAAACTGTGGGTTTGCACAACCGAAGGATTTCTGCACAAACTGTCAGAAACCGTCTCAGGGAAACTCACGTGCGTGCTCGTCGTCCTCATCAGGGTCTTGACCTGACTGCATTGTAACCGACTTCAGTGGGCAAATGCTCACCTTCGATGGCCACTGGCATGCTGGAGAAGTGTGCTGTTCACCAATTTAATCCTGGTTTCAACAGTACCGGGCAGATGGCACAGCGTGTATGGCGTCGTGTGGACGAGCGGTTTGCTGATGTCAACGTTGTGGACAGAGTGCCCCATGGTGGCGGTGGGGCAGGCAGGCATAAGCAACGAACACAATAGGCTCTATGCACGCATCACTTCCGCATTGGCGTAAGGATGCTTGGGCATTTCCGGTTACCGGGAAAAAACATTAGACAGTGACAGTAGACCGTTATGATGGCAGAGATGACGTTTACAAGGTGTTTGCTGGAGTTACCTAAAGTATCTGTTAATGATATACGGAGGGTTGTCCGGACATCCAGTACGACACCACGTAGCAAACTGGATAAAGGCTTCAAATTTTACGTTTCTTCTTTTCTATGCAACTTTGAAGGTAATATGCTAACGCTAGCTAGCCTGAGCTAGAAGCCTTGCTTTGGTGTTTTAAGTCAAGACTCCGTACTGCTTCAGGTTAATCAAGCTTTAAATAAAGTTTAATAATGTGTATATACCTCTCACTTCATGTGTTTGTACTTTTATGAAAGTATCAGGTAAAAACAGGGCTACAAATGAGATCTCTGTGAGAGCCCACTGCTACCGCTCAATGAAGAAACTAAAGCCACCACACCAGCTGAGAGTAGGACTAGATTAAGTGACACGTTCAAAGTTCTGTTGAACTTGTTCAAGGTTCCGTTCAACACATGTTTTACTCGTTTAATGTTACCACAGCTTTGATTGCCATTGCTAAGAGAACACTTTAGAACTTTAGTGGTTTTCACGATAGCTGAACAGTGGTAGCCTAATACAGACCAGGGTAGCTGAGTGGGAATTGCCATGCTTTGTTGTTGGGTCTGTTGTAAACAAATTGGAGTTTGGTTTGAAATGTAAACAATGAGATTACTACTTTTTCCTGACTTGATGACTGCAATGACAGTAACATATTCCACTCAGCTATTCTTCAAACTGGTGATGTTCTACTCAAAACTGTCCTGTCATCTTTACTTCTTTTTTTTTTCTTTTTTTTTCTTCTTTTTTTTTCGGGGGGATGGATCAGCTTAATATTGCAGATAGATTGTATCTTCTATCAATGTAATTGTCTGCATCACTTCCAATCCCCCATGTTTATTTTTATTTTTTATATATATATTCCCCTTTATTACTTTTCAACCCCACCATCCTTTCCCTACTTGGAGTAAATTAGTGAACAACAACGCCCAGGCCTCTACTTCCGGTCTATACTTACTATCTACACCTTATGGACAGAGTTAATTTTACAATAATTCTATATATATATATATATATATATATATATATATATATATATATATATATATATATATTTTTTTTTTTTTTTTTTTTTTTTTTTTTTTTGCTCCTGAACCTCTTCTACTCTCAACCTCTCTGATCATTTTCATGATGTCCATCCAGTTTGCTTCTAAATGCCATATCTTTCTAACTGTGCTCTTTCCCAAAAGCTCCCAACATACAACCTATATACTTATTATGGACACAGTATGCTTACATTATTAGCTATCTTTGTTATTATTTGTTGTTATTTGTTATTAGTCCCATCCTTCAACTCTATTCAATACCTCCCATCTATCTCTTAACACCATCCATATAGGATTTCTATTTGCCATATATATTTCAACCGTACTGTGATGTTTTACAAAAGTTCTGAACCTTTCTATTCTCATTGCTTCTACAGATTGTAAATTAAAAATAAACATTTTTGCTAAAAGTATTATTATATTATTGATTGATTGACTATGACTTTTCAGATCACCCAGTAATGCTATCTGCAAGGTTAGTTCCAGGTAAATATTGCAATCCTTTAGCCATTCCTGGACCTGTGTCCAAAAACAAGCTACAAATGGACAGAACCAAAACAAATGATCTAATGATTCTATCTCTTCACAGCAAAATCTGCAGAGCTGGGAAGATTGTATCCCCCATATAAATAACATTTTATTAGTAGCAAGAATTTTATATAATAATTTAAATTGAAAGATTCTAATTTTTGAATCCGGTGTCGTTTTGCGTGTCAGTTCATAAACACTATGCCATGGGATCGGTACGTCAAAGATCTCTTCCCAACTATTTTGCAATCTATATGGGACGGCTGTCAATCCTTTGGTCCTTAAGTGAAACTGATATACTTTTTTATTTATCACAGTTTTCCTTAACCAATTATGTTCTTTAAAGCAAGGCCGACAGACAAGTTCCTTACTTTCTCCCCCTTCAACTTTCCTCTTCCACTTTTGCGGTAAGGCTGCAATTATTTGGTTGTAATTTTGGATAGAGCAGACATTTCCATATGTTTTTGTTAGCTGCATGTGCGACATAACTCCACCAGTCCTACCGATGATATCATTTACGAAGATTATACCTTTTTTAAACATTCTGTCAGAAAATAAAGGTTTTTTGTCAATTAGTATATTTGAATTTAACCACAATATTTGTTGCATTATTTGTTCTGTCGTTTCTGGAGGATTAAATTGAAATTGCAACCAACTATGGCTTGTTTTAGAAATAGTGACATTTGGGAGATTATTTCCTTTTCAAATAACTGAAAGTGAGAGGTTGTAATCTGAATAAAGGGAAAAAGGCCTTTCTTGAACAGTGGGTGAGACAATCTTACTAATTTGCTTGAGAACCAGTTCGGATTTAAGTATAACTTTTGGATGACTGAAGATTTTAGTGATAGGTCTAATGCTTTAATATGCAACCAACTATGGCTTGTTTTAGAAATAGTGACATTTGGGAGATTATTTCCTTTTCAAATAACTGAAAGTGAGAGGTTGTAATCTGAATAAAGGGAAAAAAGGCCTTTCTTGAACAGTGGGTGAGACAATCTTACTAATTTGCTTGAGAACCAGTTCGGATTTAAGTATAACTTTTGGATGACTGAAGATTTTAGTGATAGGTCTAATGCTTTAATATTTAATAATTTCTGTCCTCCGAATTCATATTCATTATATAAATATGCTCTTTTAATTTTGTCTGGCTTGCCGTTCCAAATAAAATTGAATATTTTTTTCTCATATAATTTAAAAAACTGTTTGCTAGGCGTAGGCAAGACCATAAGCAAATAGGTAAACTGGGATAATACTAAAGAGTTAATCAGGGTGATTTTTCCACAAATTGACAGGTATTTTCCTTTCCATGGTAGTAAGATCTTATCTATTTTTGCTAACTTTCTATTAAAATTTATTGAAGTGAGATCATTTATTTCCTTTGGGATATGTATTCCGAGTATATCCACATCACCATCAGACCATTTTATTGGTAAACTACATGGTAATGTAAAAATTGTATTTTTTAGTGATCCAATACGTAATATAGTACATTTGTCATAATTTGGTTTTAATCCAGAGAGGTTAGAAAATGTATCTAGATCCTCTATGAGGCTGTGGAGGGATTCTAGTTGTGGATCTAAAAGAAAACATGAATCATCTGCGTACAATGACACCTTTGTTTTTAAGCCCTGTATTTCTAATCCTCTGATATTATTATTGGATCTGATTTTAATAGCTAACATCTCGATGGCCACAATAAATAGATATGCCGATAGTGGACAACCTTGTTTCACTCCTCTTGACAGTTTAAAACTTTCTGAGAAATAGCCAGTATTTACTATTTTACACCTAGGGTTACTATACATGATTTTGACCCATTTTATAAGAGATTCTCCAAAATTGAAATGCTCCAGGCATTTATATATAAATTCCAGTCAAACTTTATCAAATGCCTTTTCGAAGTCTGCTATGAATAGCAGGCCTGGTTTCCCATATTTTCCATAGTGTTCTATTGTTTCCAATACTTGCCTTATATTATCTCCAATGTATCTTCCATGTAAAAAACCTGTCTGATTAGAATGAATAATATCCGACAATACCTTTTTAATTCTATGCGCTATACATTTTGCTAGGATTTTTGCATCACAACACTGAAGTGTAAGGGGCCTCCAATTTTGTAAATGGACTGGATCTTTATATTTTCCACTTGTATCCTGTTTCAGTAATAATGAGATCAGACCTTCTTCTTGAGTGTCAGATAATCTACCATTTACATAGGAGTGGTTAAAACATGCTAATAACGGTCCTCTTAGTATATCAAAAAAGGTTTGGTATACCTCGATTGGTATGCCATCCAACCCTGGAGTTTTCCCGGACTTAAAGTCTTTAATTGCATCCAGAAGTTCCTCCTCTGTAATTTCACCTTCACATGAGTCTTTCTGTGTGGCTGTTAATTTGACATTATCAATAGAAAAAAAATCTCTACAATTAGCTTCAGTTAGAGGAGATGGAGGCGACTGAAAAGAAAACATATGCTTAAAATACTTTGTTTCTTCCTTCAAAATATCATTAGGTGAATTATGGGTGACTCCGTCAATTGTAACCAGTTTCATTAAGTTCTTTTTGGTAGCATTCCTATGTTGAAGATTAAAAAAGAATTTTGTGCATTTTTCCCCATATTCCATCCAGTTTGCTTTATTTTTATAATATATTACACTTGATCTTTCTTGAATAAGTTTTTCCATTTCTTTTTGTTTTTCCTCTAATTTATTCTGAGCCTCTATGTTACAGTTTTTATTGCCATCTATCTGTTCTGTTAGACTTTCTATTTCCTTTCTTAGTATAAACTCTTTTGACCTAAATTGCTTTTGTTTTCGAGATGAGTACTGAATTGCATGGCCTCTAAAGGCACATTTAAAGGTGTCCCATACAATAAGGGGATTCGCTGTACCTATGTTATGTTGGAAAAAGTCAGTTATAAATTCCTTTGTTCTAATTATAAATAAATTATCATCTAATTAGCTAGTTTTCACGATAGCTGAACAGTGGTAGCCTAATACAGACCAGGGTAGCTGAGTGGGAATTGCCATGCTTTGTTGTTGGGTCTGTTGTAAACAAATTGGAGTTTGGTTTGAAATGTAAACAATGAGATCACTACTTTTTCCTGACTTGATGACTGCAATGACAGTAACATATTCCACTCAGCTATTCTTCAAACTGCTGATGTTCTACTCAAAACTGTCCTGTCATCTTTACTTCTTTCTTTATAAACATATGGCCCAACTTCCTTGCTTTTGTACTTGATGTTTCTACTTTTCAAGAGGAATTAGGAGAAAAACCTTCACTCTACTGTTGTTATTGGTACAATGTTGCACCACTCACCTACTGCTCTGCCAATACTGTTTGAAGGTAGGTAAATGGCACAAGACAATAGGTAAGTGGTGGGAGACAGTATAGCCAAGTGGTGCAAGACAGTAGGAAAGTGATGCAGAAAGCACAAAAGTGACACGAGTTGCTTACACCAGTAAAAAGTAGAAAGAACAAGTTTTGCTCCTGCTGCTGTAGACCCTCGTCTTTCAAAACCCATTAAATTATGCTTCTGTGTATTTCAGATGACATTGCGTGATTCACAGCCAGTTGTGTTTGTTAAAAGCTACTGTTCCTGTGTGGCTGGGTGTGGGATATGCAATCATTTGGTTGCATTACTATATCAGACTGCCCATTACTCTGAATGTGGCATGTCTGTCGTCCCTCCTGTACTTTCGTGCACTGAAACAGAGCAGAAATGGCATAAACCACGAACAATGGTTTGTATCATTTCAATACCAGACAGTTGTGTCACATGCATACTAGCATCTCTCCTAATACCATCTCATAAATAAATAGGGAGTGAAGCCAGGACCTGTGGATGCCATGGTTGTAGTGAAGCCCAAACCAGATGCTACTCCGGCAAGCAGAATTAGGTATGCAGAGTCCAATTAAATAGGCAGACTACAATGTATTGCGAAATAAATGTTATTAATCGCTGTTAGATTCTGGTTTATTTCCTAGTGAACCCTTTACTTTTCCTGATATTGTTATTCCAGATCTACACTTTACAAGGGCTACAGCGGTGAGCTACCAGACCCATCAACCCTCAACCCACTACCTGCCTATGCTGACATGGAACCAGACTCTCTTCCCTTTATCTGCAGAATGAACATCACATCTGACAAACCACTTGTGGACTCCATTTTTGGCAAGGTACAAACTGGCAGTATCCTGTCATATCAACACTCACCACCTCCACCTGACTTTCGTACGTTTACACGTCATCGTGTTATAAGTCAAGACGTAAAAACATTAACATAAACATTAAGATAAACAACAACAACGACGAAAATTAACCGTTTCGGATGTTTTTGACGACAAGCATTCAATGCTAGCATACGGTAGCACAGCATTCTACGATAACCGGAAGTTTACATCCATCCTGCGATTTAACCGGAAACACGTCATGCTCGCCTGTGCATATCGCCTATTGCGTTTTATCGATGGTAATTTGAATGCACAGAGATACCGTGACGAGGCCCTGAGGCCCATTGTCGTGCCATTAATCTGCCGCTTTCACCTCATGTTTCAGCATGATAATGCATGGCCCCATGTCGCAAGGATATGTACACAATTCATGGATGCTGAAATTGTCCCAGTTCTTCCATGGCTTGCATACTCACCAGACATGTCACCCATTGAGCATGTTTTGGATGCTCTGGATTGACATGTGTGACAGCGTGTTCCAGTTCCCGCCAATATCCAGCAACTTTGTACAGTCATTGAAGAGGAGTGGGACAACATTCCACAGGCCACAATCAACAGCCTGATCAACTCTATGCTAAGGAGATGTGTCGTGCTGCATGAGGCAAATGGTGGTCACACCAGATACTGAATGGAATTCTGATCCACGCCCCTACCTTTTTTTAAAGGTATCTGTGACTAACAGATTAATATATGTATTCCCAGTCATGTGAAATCTATAGATTGGGGCCTAATGACTTTATTTTAATTGACTGATTTCCTTATGTGAACTGTAACTCAGTATGAAAATGTATGCCCTCACTAACTGTAAGTCGCTGTGGATAAGAGCATCTGCTAAATGACTAAAATGTAAATGTAAAATGTAAAATCTTTGAAATTGTTGCATGTTTTGTTTATATTTTTGTTAAGTGGTAATAACAGATCACATTCACATCCTGATGGTAACATTTTATCATCAGTTGTTGACCTCTAGTCATCATAACGTCTGCTCCACTTTGACGAAACCTTGTCAGTTATTTGTCGGGGTTAGACTGGTAGATAAGGTGAGGGATTATGAAAAGACTGGTATGAAGACTGATTTTAGATTTTCTGAAAATAGAAAATAAGGAGAAGAAAAATAAGTATTTGAAAATAATAATAATGTTTCATACCCTACACTACATACCCTACGTACAACTACATACACTACATACCCTACATACCCTATGTACCCTACGTACACAACATACTCTACATACCCTACATACCCTAAATACACTACATACACTACATACCCTACATACACAACGTACCCTACGTACACTGTCACGTTCGTTCATTAACGAGAAGGACCAAGGCGCAGCGTGATATGCATTCATATTTATTTCCGTACTGAACACACGACAAAAGAACAAACGAAACGTGAAGTCCAAGGTAGACAAATAACATACCTTTACGGAACAAGATCCCACACAGACTGGTGCCAAAAGGCTGCCTAAGTATGGTCCCCAATCAGAGACAACGAGCTACAGCTGCCTCTGATTGGGAACCACCCTGGCCAACATAGATCTAAACGATCTAGAAACTAAACATATAAATAAACACAACACGAAATATACACACCCTGACTCAACAAATAACGGTCCCCTGAGTCAGGGCGTGACAGTACCCCCCCCCCCCAAATGTGCGGACTCCGACCGCGCCACATAAACCTAATAGGGTAGGGGCCGGGTGGGCATTCCGCCTCGGAGGCGGATCCGGCTCCGGGTGTAACCACCACTTACTCTCCACCTCCCCGTTGCGCCCCTGGTCTGGTCTGGAACCGCTGACTGGAGCTGGATCAGGCACCGGTGGAGCGGACTGCTCTGGCTCCGGAGTGGAGCCGCTGACCGGGGCTGGACTGGACCCCGGTGGAGCGGATTGCTCTGGCTCCGGAGTGGAGCAGCTGACCGGCACGGGCCGTGCCGGACTGGACACACGCACCACTGGCTTGGTGCGGGGAGCAGGAACGGACCGGACCTGGCTGATGACGCGCACCCCTGGCTTGGTGCGGGGAGCAGGAACGGGCCGGACCGGGCTGACGACGCGCACCACTGGCCTGGTGCGGGGAGCAGGAACGGGCCGGACTGGGCTGACGACGCGCACCCCTGGCTTGGTGCGGGGAGCAGGAACGGGCCGGACTGGGCTGACGACGCGCACCACTGGCTTGGTGCGGGGAGCAGGAACGGGCCGGACTGGGATGATGACGCGCACCCCTGGCTTGGTGCGGGGAGCAGGAACGGGCCGGACTGGGCTGACGACGCGCACCCCTGGCTTGGTGCGGGGAGCAGGAACGGGCCGGACTGGGCTGACGACGCGCACACCTGGCTTGGTGCGGGGAGCAGGAACGGGCCGGACTGGGCTGACGACGCGCACCACTGGCTTGGTGCGGGGAGCAGGAACGGGCCGGACTGGGATGATGACGCGCACCCTGGCTTGGTGCGGGGAGCAGGAACGGGCCGGACTGGGCTGACGACTCGCACCCCTGGCTTGGTGCGGGGAGCAGGAACGGGCCGGACTGGGCTGACGACGCGCACCACTGGCTTGGTGCGGGGAGCAGGAACGGGTCGGACTGGGCTGACGACGCGCACCACTGGCTTGGTGCGGGGAGCAGGAACGGGCCGGACTGGGCGGGACGACGCGCACCACTGCCTTGGTGCGGGAGCAGGAACGGGCCGGACTGGGCTGGGAACACCCACCACTGGCTTAGTGCGGGAATCAGGAACGGGCCGGACTGGACTGGCGACCCGCACCACTTGATTAGTGCGAGGAGCGGGACTGGGTTCCTTCATTAACCCCCGCTCCTTCTGCTGCCTAACCAGCTCCTCTCGCCGTGCCTCTACACTTTCCTTCTGCTCCCTCTGCACCAATGACCCCCTTAATCTGGCGGCCTCCTCTGCTAAACGGCTGAACCGCTCTATCGTGGCCTCCTGATGCCTCGTCGTCCACGGCTTGAGCCCCCCCCTAAAAATTTTTTGGGCTTGTCTCTCCCCCGTGATCATGGCCTCCATCCCTCTTGCCAGACTCTCGCTCATCTCCTCCCAAGTCCATCCTCTCTCCTCATCACGCTGCTTGATCCAGGATTGGTGGGATCTTCTGTCACGTTCGTTCATTAACGAGAAGGACCAAGGCGCAGCGTGATATGCATTCATATTTATTTCTGTACTGAACACACGACAAAAGTCAGGGCGTGACAGTACACTACATACCCTACAAACTCTACATACCCTACATACTCTACATACCCTAAATACACTACATACTCTACATACTCTACATACCCTAAATACACTACATACACTACATACCCTACATACACTACATACCCTAAATACACTACATACACTACACACACTACATACCCTACATACGCTACATACCCTACATACACTACATACACTACATACCCTACATACCCTACGTACACTACATACCCTATGTACCCTACGTACACTACATACCCTACATACTCTACATACCCTACATACTCTACGTATGATGATGTGCAAATAGAGATACTGGGGTGCAAATGAGCAAAATAAATAACAATATGGGGATGAGGTAGTTGGGTGGGCTAATTTCAGATGGGCTGTTTACAGGTGCAGTGATCGGTAAGGTGCTCTGACAACTGATGCTTAAAGTTAGTGAGGGAGATAAAAGTCTCCAGCTTCAGAGATTTTTGCAATTCGTTCCAGTCATTGGCAGCAGAGAACTGGAAGGAATGGCGGCCAAAGGAGGTGTTGGCTTTGGGGATGACCAGTGAGATATACCTGCTGGAGCGCATACTACAGGTGGGTGTTGCTATGGTGACCAATGAGCTAAGATAAGGCGTGGGATTTGCCTAGCAGTGATTTATAGATGGCCTGGAGCCAGTGGGTTTGGCGACGAATATGTAGTGAGGACCAGCCAACAAGAGCGTACAGGTCACAGTGGTGGGTAGTATATGGGGCTTTGGTGACAAAACGGATGGCACTGTGATAGACTACATCCAATTTGCTGAGTAGAGTGTTGGAGGCTATTTTGTAAATGACATCGCCGAAGTCAAGGATCGGTAGGATAGACCGTTTTACGAGTGCATGTTTGGCAGCATGAGTGAAGGAGGCTTTGTTGCGAAATAGGAAGCCGATTCTAGATTTACCTTTGGATTGGAGATGCTTAATGTGAGTCTGGAAGGAGAGTTTACAGTCTAACCAGACACCTAGGTATTTGTAGTTGTCCACATACTCTAGGTCCGACCCATCGAGAGTAGTGATTCTAGTCGGGTGGGCGGGTGCCAGCAGCATTCGATTGAAGAGCATGCATTTAGTTTTACTAGTGTTTAAGAGCAGTTGGAGGCTACTGAAGGAGTGTTGTATGGCATTGAAGCTCGTTTGTTTTTGTGCTGGTCAATGGCAGTCAAGTCGGAGGAGAACCAGGGGCTATATCTGTTCTTAGTTCTGTATTTTTTGAATGGGGCATGTTTATTTAAGATTGAGAGGAAATTACTTTTAAAGAACAACCAGGCATCCTCTACTGACGGAATGGGGTCGATATCCATCCAGGATACCTGGGCCAGGTCAATTAGGAAGGCCTGCTCGCTAAAGTGTTTTAGGGAGCGTTTGACAGTGATGAGGGGTGGTCGTTTGACCGCTGACCCGTTACAGACGAAGGCAATAAGGCAGTGATCGCTGAGATCCTGGTTGAAGACAGCGGAGGTGTATTTAGAGGGTAAGTTAGTCAGGATGATATCTATTAGGGTGCCATGTTTACGGATTATGGAGATTGCATGGCTGTATGCCCGATTTTATACACCTGTCAGCAACTGGTGTGGCTGAAATAGCCAAATCCACTAATTTGAAGGGGTGTCCACATACTTTTGTATATATATATATATATATATAGTGTATGTGCAAAGGGAATTTATTTGAGAATAAAATCACCAGCTCTCTACACTGTTAAATGTATCCCAAGATAAACCATTGTGGTTATAACATTTTGAAGGTTTCACTAGCACTGACCTTGGTGCTGGTATGTTCTTCTTGATGGGACATTTACTACCACTGTTATTGACTGTTAGAAGATCGAGCCTTCAGTCACAGTCCCACTAGGGATGCATCCCAAATGGCACCCTATTCCCTACATAGTGTGCTACTTTTGGCCAGGGCCCATAGGAAACAGAATAACATTAACAACAATGAGGACACAGAGAGAAGGACAGCATTACTTAAAACCATGATTTCCTAGAGAACCAAAACCAAATGCTTTCCTAGAAAACCAAAGCCACAGAGGAGTCCCAAACCTCCACATCACTCCTTTCTTCAGAAGTATCTTATTATGTTGTGACATGTAAGATAAGTGTCTACCCCCTGTCTCTGTAGCTCTCTGTCTGTCTCTGTAGCACACTGTCTCTCTCTGTAGCTCTGTCGCTCTCTGTAGCTCTCTGTCTCGCTCTGTAGCTCTCTGTCTCTCTCTGTAGATCTCTGTCTCTCTATGTAGCTCTCTCTCTCTGTAGCTCTCTGTAGCTCTCTCTCTGTAGCTCTCTGTAGCGCTCTGTCTCTCTCTGTAGCTCTCTGTCTCTCTCTGTAGCTCTCTGTCTGTCTCTGTAGCCCTCTGTCTGTCTCTGTAGCTCTCTGTCTGTCTCTGTAGTTCTCTGTCTGTCTCTCTCTGTCTCTCACCAGAGCCTGGATGTGTGCTGCTGAGTCATTCTGTGTTGAACAGAGAACAAGGGATGGAGAGGGAGACAGAGGGAGAGAGGGATGGAAAGAGACAGGGGGATAGGGATGTAGAGAGAGAGAGAGAGACTTGGGGGATTAAAGATTTTATATTTTGATCTTCTCACCTGCTATTTTGTATAATGCTAATATACTGGCCTCTACCTGCTATTCTGTATAATGCTGATATACTGGTCTCTACCTGCTATGCTACCTATCCTCAGTGTCAGCTCCTCTGAGCTCTCCTCCTACGTACAGTACTGTACACTCCCAATGATATAGCTAGCTAGCTGTTCTCCTACTCCTAACCCCGGCCCCTGGTCTCCAAGTTCAGCATAACCTGTAACATCATCATCACCAGCCATTCAGGTAGCTAGACTCCTGTTGCTTCAGTCTCTCTCTCTCTCTCTCTCTCTCTCTCTCTCTCTCTCTCTCTCTCTCTCTCTCTCTCTCACCCAGACAGACAGCTGACTTAAGGAAAGGAATCACTTGGCAGTGCAGTGTACAGGTGACCATTTCTCTATTGACAGAAGATGAGTCATTCTTGCAGGATTCTATAGCTCTCAGAAACCAAGGAGGAAGACGATATGCTTCTTTCTCTTTTCTCTCTTTTTTCCCTTCAGCTTTCTGTGTGGTAGCCGTGGCGATCTGCTGCTGCTGTAACCATGTTTAGGAACAGCTTGAAGATGCTGCTGACGGGCGGCAAGGCCAACCGCAAGAACCGCAACGGCAGCAGAGGTGAGTCTGACCCCTGACTTTTAACCTGTGATCTCCGTAAAGAATTATTAACAACATGCCTGTCAGAAGAACACAGCGGCTGTTCATGGAAAGGTCATCGGGGTCATACTGTGTCAGACACCAATAGCCTTCCATTGGGTTTCAGTAGTAGTGCTCAAAACCCCACCTGATATCAGACTCATTTATAAAGTGCATTCAGACCCTTTCCCTTTTTCCACATTTTGTTACGTTACAGCCTAAAATTGATTAAATAAAAATGTTTCCACATCAATCTATACACAATTCCCCACAATGACAAAGTGAAAACAGGTTTTTAGAAATGTTTGCAAATGAATATGTATTCAGACCCTTTGCTATGAGACATGACATTGAGCTCAGGTACATCCTGTTTCCATTGATCATCCTTGAGATGTTTCTACAACTTGATTGGAGTCTACCTGTGGTAAATTCAATTGATTGGACATGATTTGAAAGGCACACACCTGTCTATGTAAGGTCCCATAGTTGACAGTGCATGTCAGAGCAAAAACCAAGCCATGAGGTCGAAAGAATTGTCCGTAGAGCTCCGAGACAGGATTGTGTCGAGGCACAGATCTGGGGAAGGGTACCAAAAAATGTCTGCAGCATTGAAGGTCCCCAAGAACACAGTGGCCTCCATCATTCTTAAATGGAAGAAGTTTGGAACCACCAAGACTCTTCCTAGAGCTGGCCGCCCGGCCAAACTGAGCAATTGGGGGAGGTGACCAAGAACCCGATGGTCACTCTGACAGAGCTCCAGAGTTCCTCTGTAGAGATGGGAGAACCTTCCAGAAGGACAACCATCTCTGCAGGACTCCACCAATCAGGCCTTAATGGTAGAGTGGCCAGACGGAAGCCACTCCTCAGTAAAAGGAACACATGACAGCCTGCTTGGAGTTTGCCAAAAGGCACCTAAATGACTCTCAGACCATGAGAAACAAGATTCTCTGGTCTGATGAAACCAAGATTTAACTATTTGGCCTGAATGCCAAGCATCACGTCTGGAGGAAACCTGGCACCATCCCTACGGTAAAGCATGGTGGTGGCAGCATCATGCTGTGGAGACTAGTCAGGATCGAGGAGAAAGATGAACGGACCAAAATACAGAAAGATCCTTGATGAAAAACTGCTTCCGGAGCGCTCAGGACCTCAGACTGGGGTGAAGGTTCACCTTCCAACAGGACAACAACCATAAGCACACAGCCAAGACAACGCAGGAGTGACTTTAGGACAAGTCTCTGAATGTCCTTGAATGGCCCAACCAGAGCCTGGACTTGAACCCGATCGAACATCTCTGGAGAGACCTGAAAATAGCTGTGCAGCGACGCTCCCCATCCAACCTGACAGAGCTTGAGAGGATCTGCAGAGAAGAATGTGAGAAACTCCCCAAATACAGGTGTGCCAAGCTTGTAGCGTCATACCCAAGAAGACTTGAGGCTGTAATCGCTGCCAAAGATGCTTCAAGAAAGCGCTGAGTATAGGATCTGAATACTTATGTAAATGTAATATTTCAGTATTATTTTTATTTATTTATTTTAAGCTGTTTTTGCTTTGTCATTATGGGGTGTTGTGTGTAGATTGATGAGGGGAAAAAAACGATTTAATCAATTTTAGAATAAAGCTTTCCTGAACCCACTTAGATCTGTTGACATTAGTCCTCTACTCTCCAGAAAGTAAGTCAGTCTTTCCTGAACCCACTTTGATCTGGTGACATTAGTCCTCTACTCTCCAGAAAGTAAGTCAGTCTTTCCTGAACCCACTTTGATCTGGTGACATTAGTCTACTGCTCTCCAGAAAGTAAGTCAGTCTTTCTGTTATCATCCTTTCCATAAGTTTACATACGTGAGATGTCAACGCTATCGGCCAATAGCTTGAAGGACTACTAGGGTCTTTCCCTGGTTTCCGTATTGGCACCACTACCGCCTGCTTCAAACTTCCAGAAAATGTCCCTTCCTGCCACACCTTATTGTAAAGGCCCAATACTTTTCTGACATGTACTGTCAACTGTGGGACCTTACATAGTGTGTGCCTTTCCAAATCATGTCCAGTAAATTGAATTTAACCCAGGTGGACTCCAATCAAGTTGTAGAAACATCTCAAGGATGATCAATGGAAACAGGATGCACCTGAGCTCAATTTCGAGTCTCATAGCAAAGGGGCTGAATACTTATGTAAATAAGGTATTTCTGTTTTTATTTTTTATACATTTGCAAACATTTCTAAAAACCTTTTTTCACTTTCTCGTTATGGGGTATTGTGTGAAATGTTTTAATTTAATCCATTTTAGAATAAGGCTGGAATGTAACAAAATGTGCAAAAAGTCAACGGGTCTGAATACTTTCCGAAGGCATACAGTATATATATATTGAATTTTATGTCCTTGTCTATAACTGTTCTGAACTTTGTCATGTATTTGTATGTTTTATGTGGACCCCAGGAAGAGTAGCTGCTGCATGTGCAGTAGCTAATGGGGATCCTAATAAACTAAACTAAACTTCTATGTCTCCACTCATCCTCTCCACCCTCCACCCCTTCTAGGGTCTGAATGCTTATGTAAATAAGGTTTTTTATTTTTTATTTTTAATACATTTGCAATATTTTCAAAAAACCTGTTTTCTCTTTGTCATTATGTGGTGTTGTGTGAGATTGCTGATAATTATTATTATTTTTAATCCATTTTTGAATAAGGCTGTAACGTAACAAAATGTGGAAAAAGTCAAGGGGTCTGAATACTTTCCGAATACAGTGTATATACTAGACATTAGGAATATTTTGGGAACAAAAAATAACATTATTAACCGGTTCTCAACATTTGAAAATAATGGTTTTGTTCAAGGGGTCAAGGGGTCTGAATACTTTCCAAATGCACTGTAGGTACATCTTGTTGACAATAATGATCCGAGGTCTTCCAGAAATCTGTTCAGGTTTCAGACAACTGAATAAGTTGATTCTTATCTGATGACACTCCCCATTCAACACCTGCCATACTACCAAAGCCTTCATGCTTAACAACCACCGCTTTTGGTTCCTATAATACACTATATCTCACTGTATTCACTCACTTTTGTCATTTAACTGTTAAATGCTAAGAAGGAGAGAAAGCTGTGTCAGTACAGCAACACTTCCTGCCGGACAGTACAGCAACACTTCCTGCCAGTCAGTAGAGCAACACTTCCTGCCATTGCTGCCAGTCAGTACAGCAACACTTCCTGTCAGGCAGTGTAACAGTTCCCCTACGTCCCAAATGACACCTATTCCCCATTTAGTGCACTACTTTTGACCAGGGCCCATAGCGCTCTAGTCAAAAGTAGTGCACTATGTAGGAAATAGGGTACCATTTGGGATGCTTCAATGTTCTTTATTACAGAGGAGGAATGTGCCGCTAAGGGCTTTCGCTCTGCCCGCCACTTGACGATATCCTGCAGATAAATGAATCTTGTCATGCCCTGCATATGAATTACAGCTGAAATGTTGCTCAGAAAGGCCTGGATATCTTGTATGTCACACATTGTCAGTCACCCACACCATATTGACTACATCATTATGACTAACTTAACGCTTTGGAGTGTTCCAGTAACCTTTGCTGATGTAAATTGGAATAATCTAGCCCACCAAATCGCTCAAGCATTGTTACATTATCAGACAGATACAGTTTTACTGTGTGTATATGAGAATGTGTTAATAGACAGACAATGCACAGTGCAAACCTTATGCTGCTCACTCAGTCAGTCATTCAGTCAGTCAGTCAGTCAGTCAGTCAGTCAGTCAGTCAGTCAGTCAATGCACAGTGCAAACCTTATGCTACTCAGTCAGTCAATGTTATTCTATTAAATCACAGACAAACTACACTTGATTGTAATTGAAATATCAACAGACAGTCTATGAAATATCATATAGACTATTCTCTGTGTGATTACTGAGTCGACTGCTGTTGAGGACGTAATAACCGTCCTGTCTGTCAGTACAGCATCAGTATTGCAGCTGCCAGATGCTCTTCTATCTACACACTACACAGAAAGGCTCATTCAAGAGGCGTTATCTGAACTGATCATCTACTTCACTGAACACAAGTAGCCTCATTAAAGCTCAGTAAAAGGTGTTCCTCCCATCACTTGATGCAGTGTTATCTTCAGACACCAGATATGCTTTGAATAACCTCAAGTCTTCTGATCAGATTATGATATGGATAGATAGAGGGGTCTGACTAGGACACAGTCAGACCCCTCTACAATAAGCTAAAGATCAGAGAGTTCAAGACCAATACATCCACAATAACATACAGTGTACTATGTAGAGGAATGAAGCAATGTATTGGGCATACATAGTAAGTGGTGTGCTAGTGGGGATATGGGAACGTAGCCTAAGACTGGAGGGTCCATTCATGTATTTTAATGGTTCATCCCTGCTGCTGGCGTGGCTAATAAACTCTGAGACATAGGTGGCAGGTAGCCTAGTGGTTAGAGCGTTGGGCCAGTAACCGAAAGGTTGCCAGTTGGAATCCCTGAGCCGACAAGGTGAAAAATCAGTCGGTCTGCCCTTGAGCAAGGCAGTTAACCCCCCACAACAACAGCTCCCTGGGCGCACAATGTCGCAGTCTCCTGCACCTCTCTGATTCAGAGGGGTTGGGTTAAAAGCGGAAGTCAAGTTTCGGTTGCACCTTGTCAAATGTATTTATTTATGGAGCTGACTGGTTGAGAGGGAGCCAAGGTTGAGAGGGAGAGAGAGAGCCCAGGTTGAGAGGGAGAGAAGGAAAGTGATACTGACGGAGAGACGGAGAGGACTGGATAGATATCACAGCATTATGGTAATAGATTAATCTTGCCCTCCGATTGGCTGGCTGGAAATGTGGCCTTAATACCTCTGTCTCCAATACTCTCAGATCTACAGGAGTGGCTAGGGAATAGGGGTTATGCCTGTAGGGGCTAAGGGTAGAGCCATTTGGAATTCAGCGCGAGATGCGTAGCACAACTCAGAAGCTTTGAGACCAAAATGGAGTTCAGTTCTAGAATGCAGCAGATGGATGGATAGAAGCCTTCTGTTCTGTATGTTGTATTATTGATGTTCAGAGACCATTTGGTGGAGACCCTTAATGAACACTCAGACAGGCCTTCAGTCTGTGGGCGGGCCACTTGAATTGATTCAAAATGGCCTCTTTGGAATTGGAACTGAAGAAGGCAGCCATTCAAGTACTCTCCCTCCCTCTCCACAGACAGACGGGCGGGTGGCTCGGCGGAGAGACAAACAGTGAGACAGACAGATAGTGAGAGAGACAAAGACAGGCGGACAGACAGTAATGGAATGTTCCTGGATGTTCTGGAACGTGTTCTGGAATCATTCAGACCAGATGGAGCCTGATGGGCAGCAGGTGCCTGCCAGGAATCACATTTCCTCCCTAATTGTGGGGTTCTAATTGACGTCTGATTTTCTACAGCCATGGAGGAGAAATATAATTAGAAATCAGCAGCTCTGCAAACAGCCATCAAACTCTAATAGGCTCAGGGAGTGATGAAGGTATGATACATGAATACTAGTGTGACTCTGATTTGACTGTAAATGTACCATTCTAAATGTTCCACCATCAGGTTGACAATGTGAAGAAATAGACTCATTGACATTGTTCATGCCACTCACATGTAGTCATACACAGACATACGGTATACCTATACAAACAAAGGCCATGCCAAATGAATCTGGCAGGTAATAACCAAATATTGAAGAATAAGCAGGCTTCTATAGTAAGGGATAACTGAATGATCCAGGGATACAGAAGGAGCTTCAGAAGGAGCTCAATGGGAGAGTTGGTATTGGCTGCTGTCCACAAGGCGACAGATTGGCTGCTCCTGATTGGCTCGTCCTGCTCCACACACTGTGCATCCCAAATGGCACCCTCTACCCTAGATAGTGCACTACTTTTGACCAGAGCCCTATGGGAGCCCTATGGACCCTGGTCAAAAGTAGTGCACTAGAAAGGGAATAGGGTGTCATTTGGAACGCATACACAGTAACGTCCCCTTCCTTCCTGTATTAATGGACTCATAAAAAATTAATGGATGAATTAGAGTAAGAGACACCACAGAGACCTAGTGATGTTGGATATAGTAGAATAGAGGATCAGCTGCACAACACATAGGGTCATCAGGTTTATCCTTAAAGAAACGGAAATCCTCTGTGTTTTCTAGGTTAATTTAGAAATATGTTGTCCATCTTCTAATGGATAATACATTATTCAGGACTAACTTGAAAAAGAAACCTGGTTCTCGATGTGACTCTCCTGGGTAAATAAAGGTTAAATAAACTTCAGTGTACAGCATAAAGACAAAAAGCCACTAATGTGGTGCTATGTGCTGCTCCAAACGCTGTGTTGGTATAAATCCAGATACAGCCCTATGACACTAGGAGCTTTGTCTTCCACTCCCTAGCTGAACAAGAGACCCAGCAGCATCAGATCACCAGTCTATCAAACACCGGCCATGAAAAGGGCTATTGTTGTTAGTAAGCAGATCTGCTATAGATATACAGTATATATGCTGTGTCCAAATGGCAAACTATTCCCTTTATAGTGCACTACTTTTGTACCATTTGGGACACAGACATACCCTCCATCAGGCTACAGTAACCCTACTGTCTTATCTTGCAGTATGCATGAGTTACTTTCATCTAATGGCCATAAACATGTACATTAAGCTGGTGCATAAACAGTGTCTGTACTCTGTAGCTAGTGAAGGAGAAACTATGGTTGCATCCCAAATGGTACCCTGTTCCCTATATAGTGCACTACTTTAGATCAGAGCCCATAGTAGTGCACTATAAAGGGAATAGGGTACCATTTGGGACACGAACAGGGTCTGTGTAGCCAGTGAAGAGGAAACTAAATCATGACTCAATATGGTGTAGCACAGCTGTGGAAAGGGAAACATTGACATTTGTAACTAAGAACAACAGCAATGCCTTGTCTGTCTACTGTACTGTCTCTTCACCTAGGCTGAATCATGTTGTTAAGGTTTCTGTCAGTCCCAAATCATCCTATTCCCCATGTAGTGCACAGTGTTGGGGAAGCTACTCTGAAAATAGTTTACCAAGCTACCAATTACTTCACACTGGAAGGAGTTAAGCTACACTAAAGCTACCCTTAAAAATATACAGTTTACTTAACTAAAGTTATTTAGAAAAAGTAGTTCACTACATCCAAGCTACTTTGTGAAAAATGATCATATGTAAATCTGAAATGTCATAGACGGTCAATTGCAAGAACAGATCAGACTAGTCAGATGTTAACAGAATGTGTCTTTATCCATTTATCCTACACAAAAAAACAGTGCTATCTAGAACCTAAAAGGGTTCTTCAGCTGACCCCATAGGAGAACCCTTTGAATAACCTTTTTTGGTTCCAGGTAGAACCCTTTTGAGTTCCATTTAGAACCATTTTCACAGAGGGTTCTGAATGGAACACAAAAAAGATCTACCTGGAGCCAAAAAGGGTTCTCCTATGGGGACAGCCGAAGAACCCGTTTGGAACCCTTTTTTCTAAGGGTGTATTAATTTTTTAAAAACTATGTTTCAAGTGACTTGGGAAGGTCTGATGCTGAAAAATAAATGAAAATGATTGTCTACTTCACCCATATTTTCTTTTATTTTTCCAAAAAGAGTAGTGTGTACTTCCAGTAGTTAGCTAAACCGCTACGTGGTAAAACCGTAATGAACTACTGAAAACACTACCAAGATTTGAATTTAGTTCACCTACCAACAAGCTTCTGCAAAATGTAGTTTAGTTACTAGTTGAACTACATGTAGTTCACTACTCCCCAACACTAGTAGTGCACTAATTTCGACCATGCCCAGTTCACTATATAGGGGATAAGGTTCCATTTGGGGCATTTAATCTACATTTAGTAGTGTGTAGGGGCTGTACATGCACAGAGGCAGTAAACCGCTACAGCCCTATCTTACTGAAGCTTGTCTTGTTGATGGTCCAGGATGCACAGGGTTATTCTGTTTTCAATCCTGTCTCGGAGCTCTACAGACAATTCCTTTGACCTCATGGCTTGGTCTTTGCTCTAAGTCAGTCATTCCTGAACCCACTTTCCTGAACCCACTTTGATCTGGTGACATTAGTCCTCTCCTTTCCAGAAAGTAAGTCAGTCTTTCCTGAACCCACTTTGATCTGGTGACATTAGTCCTCTACTTTCCAGAAAGTAAGTCTTTCCTGAACCCACTTTTATCTGGTGACATTAGTCCTCTACTTTCCAGAAAGTAAGTCTTTCCTGAACCCACTTTGATCTGGTGACATTAGTCCTCTACTTTCCAGAAAGTAAGTCAGCCTTTCCTGAACCCACTTTGATCTGGTGACATTTGTCCTCTACTTCCAGAAAGTAAGTCAGTCTTTCCTGAACCCACTTTGATCTAGTGACATTAGTCCTTTACTCTCCAGAAAGTAAGTCAGCCTTTCCTGAACCCACTTTGATCTGGTGTCATTAGTCCTCTACTCTCCAGAAAGTAAGTCAGCCTTTCCTGAACCCACTTTGATCTGGTGACATTTGTCCTCTACTCTCCAGAAAGTAAGTCAGTCTTTCCTGAACCCACTTTCATCTGGTGACATTAGTCCTTTACTCTCCAGAAAGTAAGTCAGTCTTTCCTGAACCCACTTTGATCTGGTGACATTAGTCCTCTACTTTCCAGAAAGTAAGTCAGTCTTTCCTGAACCCACTTTGATCTGGTGACATTAGTCCACTACTCTCCAGAAAGTAAGTCAGTCTTTCTGTTATCATCCTTTCCATAAGTTTACATACGTGAGATGTCAACGCTATCGGCCTATAGCTTGAAGGACTACTAGGGTCTTTCCCAGGTTTCCGTATTGCCACCACTACCGCCTGCTTCCAACTTCCAGAAAATGTCCCTTCCTGCCACACCTTATTGTAAAGGCCCAATACTTTTCTGACATGTACTGTCAACTGTGGGACCTTACATAGTGTGTGCCTTTCCAAATCATGTCCAGTTAATTGAATTTAACCCAGGTGGACTCCAATCAAGTTTTAGAAACATCTCAAGGATGATCAATGGAAACAGGATGCACCTGAGCTCAATTTCGAGTCTCATAGCAAAGGGGCTGAATACTTATGTAAATAAGGTATTTCTGTTTATATTTTTTATACATTTGCAAACATTTCTAAAAACCTTTTTTCACTTTCTCGTTATGGGGTATTGTGTGAAATGTTTTATTTAAATCCATTTTAGAATAAGGCTGGAATGTAACAAAATGTGCAAAAAGTCAACGGGTCTGAATACTTTCCGAAGGCATACAGTATATATATATTGAATTTTATGTCCTTGTCTATAACTGTTCTGAACTTTGTCATGTATTTGTATGTTTTATGTGGACCCCAGGAAGAGTAGCTGCTGCATGTGCAGTAGCTAATGGGGATCCTAATAAACTAATCTAAACTTCTATGTCTCCACTCATCCTCTCCACCTCTCCACCCCTTCTAGGGTCTGAATGCTTATGTAAATAAGGTTTTTTATTTTTAATACATTTGCAATATTTTCAAAAAACCTGTTTTCGCTTTGTCATTATGGGGTGTTGTGTGAGATTGCTGATAATTATTATTATTTTTAATCCATTTTAGAATAAGGCTGTAACGTAACAAAATGTGGAAAAAGTCAAGGGGTCTGAATACTTTCCGAAGGCACTCTATATCGCTTGGTTGTCTCTGTATTTTTAAATGACAATTGATCTGTTATTTTCCAAAATGTACTAATACAAACATTAGACCTAGAACAAGGATCTTGGTACTGAAAGGGTTAAGGAGTTCTGCCCTGACTGAGAGAGCGGGAGAGGAGAGGGAAGGAGAGAATGCCTGTCTGCCGGCATACGCTCGCTGACACCTGGTGCTTTCATTCCTTGCTGCCTGCTCACACAGTGGAGCGTTCTCTCTCTGTCTGGGCCACGCTTTACCTTTTATCTCTCACCCTCTCTCTTTCCCTCTTTTCTCTCCCTCTCTCACCCCTCTCTTTTCTCTACCTCTCTCTCACCCCTCTCCTTTCTCTACCTCTCTCTCACCCCTCTCTTTTCTCTCCCTCTCTCTCACCCCTCTCTTTTCCCTCCCTCTCTCTCACCCCTCTCTTTTCCCTCCCTCTCTCTCACCCCTCTCTTTTCCCCTACCTCTCTCACCCCTCTCTTTTCCCTCCCTCGTCTCTCACCCCCTCTCTTTTCCCTCCCTCTCTCTCACCCCTCTCTTTTCCCTACCTCTCTCACCCCTCTTTTTTCTCTCCATCTCTCTCACCCCTCTTTTTTCTTTAGCTCTTCAGCATTCCTTCTTCCTCCCTCTTCCTCTCTCTTTCCTTTATTTTGGATCTTTCTTACAATGGTGCAGGATTATTTAATTTCCTGGGAAGCTGAGACATTGGACTGACAAAGGTGAGCTGGATACAGGGAACTCTGAGAGTCTGGACTGAAGGGCCAGTGTGGAGAATAGGGTTTTATTAACCTCTCATTGTTTGGATACATTTATATTAATGAAAACAGTGTATCAAGTAGTCTGTTTTTCCACTGTTTTGGACCTGTGTTAGCAGCAGATGTCTGTTTCCTTCCGTTCTCTGTTGCTGTGGCTCTGTGGTTGTTCCTGCGGTGTCACCTTGGCCCAGGTATGGGGCCTTCACACCAATCAGGTTCTGCGTCACAACACTATACACCTCTTAGCAGGTGTGTGTGTCTGGTGGGTCCTCTCAGCTCTGTTCTTGCGTAATGTTTGACCACTGGTTTTCTTCATAATAACATGCTATCATTGTGATTTGGGAGATCCATCATTGAGCAGCACCCACACTGCTCCTCCAGCATCTAGCGTTTCTCTCTCTCTCTCGCTCTCTCTCTCTCTCTCTCTCTCTCTCTCTCTCTCTCTCTCTCTCCTCTCCTCCTCATCTCGTCCTTGTCTCTCTCTCTCTCTCTCTCTCTCCCACCCCCCCTCTCCCACCCCCCCCCTCTCTCTCCACCTCCCTCCTCTCTTCCTCAACTCTCTCTCTCACCCCCTCCTCCTCTCAACCACCCACCCTCTCCTCTCTCCCATTTCCATTCTTTCCCATTGATCCATTTCTCACCCCTCCAGCCTCTCACCCACTCACTCAGCTCACCCTGGGATATTTTTAGAGAGAGGCTGAGAGAGGAGACAGGGACAGGGACAGGGTGAGAGAGGCGAGGTAGAGAGGCTGAGTGAGGAGACAGGGAGAGAGAGGAGAGGTAGAGAGGCTGAGAGAGGAGACAGGGAGAGAGAGGAGAGGTAGAGAGGCTGAGAGAGGAGACAGGGACAGGGAGAGAGAGGAGAGGTAGAGAGGCTGAGAGAGGAGACAGGGACAGGGAGAGAGGCTGAGAGGAAGAGGTAACAGGAGAGCAGGGAGCTTAATGTTCTAGCCTCAGGTGGGCTAATGACGGTCTTCGTAACTCCATCTGTCCTCCCCTCCTCCCCGTCATCCCCCCCCCATCCTCTTCATCTACCTCTTCTCCACACCCCACCCCACCCCACCCTCCAGACTGTTAAAGCCTGCCAGGTCTAGACAAGCATTTGATTGTGAGCACTGAGCAATTGAAAATACGGTCCCTTTAAATGTTGATGCTATGAGACTTTGCCCCACATCGTCTCTCCCCCACGTCTGCAGTAGCAGTAGAATCCTGTTGTTTTAGTCAGTCGAGGAACTCTTTCATTGTGCCTCTTGATGTGGATGAGCTCATTGGCTGTGGAGCGCTGTGAGGTTTCAATAGGAGGAAGTGCCCTTGCTGTGTGTAAATGTACAGACTTAGGTATAGTATTATATTGAAAGCTAATGGTAGCATAGTGTGTAAATAGGTAGCTGCAAAAATACTGAATACATGGGCATCAGACTTGTTCATTATTTCACCTTACAACTTAATGGGGTCACAGGAAACACAAATTAACACAGTGATTATAAAGTGTTTGTATATTATTAACTAAATGTGTGTGTTCATGTGCTTGTGTGTATGCTAGTAATGGAAAACTAATTTATACAGTAATTTTGGCTATTAACAACAGCCAAATACTGTGAAAGCATTATACCTCAGAATACTGTAAATTATGGTACATTGTGGGAAAATGTTCTGGGCGGGGAAATAATAATATGCCATTTAGCAGACGCTTTTATCCAAAGCGACTTACAGTCATGCGTGCATAAATGTTTGTGTATGGGTGGTCCCGGGGATCGAACCCACTACCTTGGCGTTACAAGCGCCGTGCTCTACCAGCTGAGCTACAGAGCTACAGAGGACCATTGCTGTATTTCAAATGGTACTGTAATTCCACCCAACATAATGCAGTACCATACTGTATTTTTGGAGTGCCAAAACCTTTTGACCACTAGTGGGTGCATGGTATTTTTGTTTCTGGCTCATTAACATATTTTGAGGTGTGCCTTGTGAGAGGCTATAGTTGTTGCTCCTGTTAGATTGAGTGCTGTACCAATTTAAAGGGGCAGTACTGTCAAAAACGTGGTTTTCCTTTTTTGGGGATTATATTTCCAAACTATGAGGTCGAAATAACACATAATGCCCTTTTTTGTGTAAAAGCTGTTTGAAAAAAATACCTTGAATTTCAGCCTGTTCAGGTGGGATGGAGTTTTTGGCCCAGATCATGACATCGCAATATAATCTGATTATTCTGACAAATGACCAGTCATCTTTTATTTGCATTTATAAACTGGGTGGATTGGCTGAAAGGCGGGGTATATCAGACCATATACCACGAGTATGACAAAACATTTATTTTTAGTGTTCTAATTATGTTGGTAACCAGTTTATAATAGCAATAAGGCACCTCGGGGGTTTGTGATATATGGCCAATATACCACGGCTAAGGGCTGTGTCCAGGCGTTGCGTCGTGCATAAGAACAGCCCTTAACCGTGGTATATTGGCCATATACCACACCCCCTTGTTCCTTATTGCTTAAATATATCCTCCTACTTTGAAGTGGTAAGCTGGGTAGGAGTCTAGACGATCATATCCGCCAAGCAGGGCTGTGTATGTAAATATATTAACATTTGTATCAACACGCCCACACGATCCGACTGAGCATTTCATTGGCAAAAAGAGGCTCTGGGAAATAAATTATAATACATTAAAAGACTGTATGGGGGCTTTAACTCATATGTTTAACAATTTAAAATGTATAGGGGACCGGTTGGAGTGGCTGCAAGTCTTAAACCTTTAATGGTTGAGTATTTAGCTATGTCCTATTGGTCTATGTTGCCCTGTTGTCGCTGCCAGTCTGGAAACCTTTGTTAAGGTAAAATGGAAATGGAAATTAAGGCCTCTAGAAAGGCAAGTGATATAAAACACAAAATATTCATTGATCTACTGTAATGTGTAAACACATGACCTAGCAGCCAACCTGCTTGCACCAATCCCATTTAATTATGGTAAAATACTGTGAAATTTCCCCCCAATTAATTTAATTAATTCAGTCATTACGATAATGGTAGCATTTACTTTTTTACAGTATAATACAGTAAATGTTTCAGTATTGTGTGTCATGACACAGTATTTGCTTTGATACTGTATTAGTATTACAGTAGTTGTACTGCAATATGAAATACATTAACTTACTTACCACTTTGCTGTCCTCCCTCCCTCCCTCCCTCCCTGCCTAGCCCTGTCCCTCCTCCCTCCCCCCCTCCTCCCGTCCCCCTCCCTCCCTGCCTAGCCCTGTCCCCTCCCTGCCCTAGCCCTGTCCCATCCCCCTCCCCCGTCCCTCCCTACCCTGCCTAAGACCCTGTCCTCCCTCCCTCCTGCCCTCCCTGCCCTCCTCCCCCCTCCCTCCCTGCCTAGCCCTGTCCTCCCTCCCTCCCTGCCCTCCCTCCCTCCCTCCCTCCCTCCCTTCCCGCTAGCCCTTCCTCTCCCCCCTCCCTCCCTCCCTCCCTAGCCCTGTCCTCCCTCCCTCCTCCCTCCTCCCTCCCTCCCTCCCTGCCCGTCCCCTCCCTCCATGTCCCTCCCTCCCTCCCTCCCCTCCCTCCCCCTACCCTGTCCTCCCTCCATCCATGTCCTCCCTCCCCCCTCCCTCCCTCCTCCCTCCCTCCCTCCCCCCTCCCTCCCTCCCTCCCTCCTCCCTCCCTACCCTTCCTCCCTCCCTCCCTGCCCTCCCTCCCTCCCTCCTCCTCCCTGCCCCTCCCTCCCTGTCCTTCCTCCTCCGCTCCTCCCTACCCGTCCTCCCTCCTAGCCCTGCCCTCTCCCTCCCCCTCCCTCGCCTCCCTCCCCCTGTCCTCCCTCCCCTCCGCCTCCTCCCTTCCCTCCGCTCCCTCCCATTTTATGTTTATGATGTGAACCCCAGGATAGTAGCTGCTGCAATGTGCAGTATCTATGGGGATCCTAATAAACTAATCTAACACTTCTATGTCTCCTCCACTCTCCTCTCCCCCTCTCACCCCCTTCTAGGTTCTGAATGCTTATGTAACATAAGGTTTTTATTTTAATACATTTTTGCAAATATTTTCAAAAAACCTGTTTTTCGCTTTGTCATTTGGGGTGTTGTGTGAAGATTGCTGATAATTATTATTATTTTTAATCCTTTAGAGAAGGCTGTAACGTTAACAAAATGTTGAAAAAGTCCAGAGGGGTCTGAATACCTTTCCGAAGGCACTCTATATCGCTTGGTTGTCTCTGTAGTTTTATGACAATTGATCTGTTATTTCCAAAATTAACTAATACAAACAAGACTAGACAAGGATCTGGTACTGAAAGGGTTACGGAATTCTGCCCTGACTGAGAGAGCGGGAGAGGAGAGGCAATGAGAGAATGCCTGTCTGGCCCCGGCATACGCCTCGCTGACACCTGGTGCTTCATTCCTTGCTGCCTGCTCAAACAGTGGAGTCGTTCTCCTCCTCTGTCTGGGCCACCGCTTTACCTTTTATCTCTCACCCTCTCTCTTTCCTCTTTCTCTCCCTCTCTCACCCTCTCTTTTCTCTACCTCTCTTCACACCCCTCTTCCTTTCTTCTACTCTCATCTCACCCCTCTCTTTTCTCTCCACTCTCCTCTTCACCCCTCGTCTTTTCCCTCCCTCTCTCTCAACCCCTCTCTTTCCCTCCTCTCTCTCACCCCTCCTCTTTTCCTACCGTCTCTCACACCCTCTCTTTTCCCTCCCTCTCTCTCACCTCTCTTTCTTTTCCCTCCCCTCTCTCTCTCTCACCCCTCTCTTTTCCTAACTCTCTCACCCCTCTTTTTTCTCTCCATCTCTCTCACCATCTGTTTTTCTTTATCTCTTCAGCAATTCCTTCTTCCCTCCCTCTTCCTCTCTCTTTCTTTATTTTTGGATCTTTCTTACAATGGTGCAGGATTATTTAAATTTCCTGTGAGCTGAGACATTGGACTGACAAAGTGAGCTGGATACAGGGAACTCTGAGAGTCTGGACTGAAGGGCCATTGTGGAGAATAGGGTTTTATTAACCTCTCATTGTTTGGATCCATTATATTAGAAAACGTGTCTCAGTAGTCTGTTTTTTTTTCCACTGTTTTGGACCTGTGTTAGCCGCCGATGTCTGTTTCCTTCCTTCTCTGTTGCTGTGGCTTCGTGGTTGTTTCCTGCGGTGTCACCTTGGCCCCGGTATGGGGCCTTCACTACCAATCAGTTTTTCTGCGTCACAACACTATACACCTCTTAGCATGTGTATTGTGTCGGTGGGTCCTCTCAGGCTCTGTTCGTGCGTAATGTTTGACCACGTGGTTTTCTTCATAATAACCTGCTCATTGTGATTTGGGAAGGGGGATCCATATCATTGAGTCAGACCACCCACCCCTGCTCCTCCAGCATCTAAGCGTTTCTTCTCTCTCTCTCTCCTTCTCGCTCTCTCTCTCTCTCTCTCTCTCTCTCCTCTCACTCTCCACTCTCTCTCTCTCTCTCTCTTCTCAGCTCTCCCGCGACTCTCGCTCTCTCTCTCTCCTCTCTCCTCTCTCTCTGCAGTCTCTCGCTCTCTCTCTCCTTTCTCCCCACCCCCTCTCCCCCCCCCCCTCCTCTCTCACCCTCTCACGGCTCTCATCACCTCCTGTCTCTCACCCCCTCTCGACCTTCTCTCCTCTCTCAACCCCCTCTCTTCTCTCTCTCTCCTCCCCCATTTCCATTTCTCCACCCTCCTCCTCACCCACGCACTCAGCTCACCCGGGTATAATTTTTAAGAGAGAGGCTGAGAGGGAGACAGGGACGGACAGTGAAGAGAGCGATGGTAAGAGTGGCTGAGTGAGGAGACAGGGAAGAGAGGAGAGGTAGAGAGGCTGAGAGAGGAGACAGGAGAGAGATGAGAGGTAGAGAGGCTTAGAGAGGAGACAGGGACAGGGAGGTATAGGAGAGGTTAGAGAGGCTGAGAGAGGAGACAGGGACAGGGAGAGAGCTTAGAGGAAGAGGTAACAGAGAGCAGGGAGCTTAATGTTCTAGTCCTCAGTGGGCTAATGACGGTCTTCGATGGCCGCTCGCTGGGCATCTGTCCTCCCTCCTCCCCGTCATCTCCCCCCCCCATCCTCTTCATCTACCTCTTCTTCTCCCACACCCCACCCCACCCCACCCTCTCAGCTGTTTAAAGCCTGCCAGGTCTAGACAAGCATTTGATTGTGAGCATGAGCATTGAAAAAACGGCTCCCTTGAAATGTTGATGCTATGAGACTTTGCCCGCACGACAATCGTCCTCTCCCCCACGTCTGCAGTATCGTAGAATCCTGTTGTTATTTAGTCAGTCGAGGAACTCTTTTCAGTTGTGCCTCTTGATGTGGAATGAATCTCTATTGGCTGTGAGCGCTGGTGAGGTTTCATAGTAGTAAGTGCCCTGCTGTGTTTAATGTACAGACTTCGGTATAGTAGTATATTGAAAGCTTAATGGTAGCATAGTGTGTAAAATAGGTAGCTGCAAAAAATACTGAATACATGGGCATCAGACTTGTCATATGTCACCTTAACACTTATCGGGGTCACACGGAAACACAAATTAACACGTGATTATAAAGTTGTTGTATATTATTACTAAATGTGTTTGTTCATGTGCTTGTGTGTTGCTAGTAATGGAAAACTAATTTATACAGTAATTTTGGCTATTAACAACAGGCCCAAATACTGTGAAAGCATTATCCCTCAGAATACTGTAATATTTACATTGTGGGAAAATGTTTTCTGGGCGGGGCAATATATATGCCATTTTAGCAGACGCTTTTATCCAAGCTGACTTACAGTCAGGCGTGCATAATGTTTGTGTATGGGTGTTCGCCGGGGATCGAACCCACTACCTTGGCGTTACAAGCGCCGTGCTCTACCAGCTGAGCTACAGATCTACAGAGGACCATTTGCTGTATTTCAAAATGGTAATGTAATTCCCCAACATAATTCAGGACCATACTGTATTTTTGGAGTGCCAAACCTTTTGACCCTAGTGGGTGCACTGGGTATTTTTTGTTTCTGCTCCTTAACATATTTTGAGGTGTGCCCTTGTGAAGCCTCTAGTTGTTTGCTCCTGTAGATTGAGTGCTGTAACCAATTTAAAGGCAGTACTGTCAAAAACGTGGTTCCTTTGTGGGATAAATTTCCAAAACTATGAGGTCTAAATAACACTAAATGCCCTTTTTTGTGTAAAAGCTGTTTGAAAAAAATACCTTGAATTGTCAGCCTGTTCAGGTGGGATGGATTTTTTGGCCCAGATCATACATCGCAATCTAATCTGATTATTCTGACAATGACCATTCATCTTTTATTTGCATTTATAAACTGGGTTGAATTGGCTGAAAGGCGGGGTAATATCAGACCATATACCACGAGTAATGACAAACTATTTATTTTTAGGGTTCTAATTATGTTTGGTAACCAGTTTATAATACATAAGGCACCTCGGGGGTTTGTGATATCTGGCCAATATACCACGTCTACGGGCTGTGCCAGCGTTGCGTCGTGCATAAGAACCGCCCTTAACCGTGGTATATTGGCCATATACCAGACCCCCTTGTTCCTTATTGCGTTAAATATATCCTCCTACTTTGAAGTGGTAAGCTGGGAGGAGTCTAGACGATCATATCCGCCAAGCAGGCTGTGTATGAAATTATTAACATTTGTTCAACACGCCCACAACGATCCGACTTAGCCATTTCAATTTGGCAAAAAGAGCTCTGGAAATAATTATAATACATTAAAAGACTGTATGGGGGGCTTTAACCTCATATGTTTTAACATTTAAAATGTCTAGGGACCGGTTTTGGAGTGGCTGCAAGTCTTACTAAACCTTTTATGGTGTTGCGTATGTAGCTATGTCCTATTGGGTCTAATGTTTTGCCCCTGTTGTCCGCTGCCAGTCTGGAAACCTTGTGTTAGGTAAATGGAAATGAAATTAATGGCCGCTAGAAAGGCAAGTGATATCACACACAAAATATTCATTGATCTACTGTAATGTTGTACACACATGAACCTAGCAGCCAACCTGCTTGCACACCAATCCATTAATTAGGTAAAATACTGTGAATTTCCCCCCAATTATTTAATTAATTCAGTCTTTACGATAATGTAGCATTTACTTTTTTATACAGTATAATACAGTAACTGTTTCAGTATTGTGTGTCATGACACAGTATTTGCTTTGATCTGTATTAGTATTACAGTAGTGTACTGCAATATGAAATCAATTAACTTACTTACCCTTTGCTGTCCTCCCTCCCTCCTCGCCGTCCCTGCCTAGCCCGTCCTCCCTCCTCCCTCCTCCCTCCCTCCCTCCCCTCCCTCCCTCCCTGCCTACCACTGTTCCTCCCTCCGTCCCTCCTCCTCCCTCCCTCCCGCCTCTCCTCCCTCCGCCCGCCTACCCTGTCCTCCCCTCCCTCCCTGCCCTCTCCCTTCCCTCCCTCCACCCCCCTCCCTCCCGGCCTAGCCCTTTCCTCTCCTCCCCTCCCCTCCCTCCTCCCCTAGCCCTGTCCTCCCTCCCCCTCCAATGTCCTCCCTCCCTCCCCTCCCTAGCCCTGTCCCCCTCCTCCATGTCCCGCCCTCCCTCCCTCCCCTCCCCTCCCTATCCCTGTCCTCCCTCCATCCATTTCCCTCCCTCCCTCCCCTCGCCATCCCTCCCTCCCTCCCTCACCTCCCTCCGCTCCCTCCCTCCCTCCCTCCGTCCCTCCTCCCTAGCCCTGTCCTCCCTCCCTCCCTGCCCTCCCTCCCCTCCCTCACTTCCGTCCCTTGCCCTCCCTGCCCTGCTACCCTGTCCTCCCTCCCTCCCTCCCTCCCTCCCTCCCTAGCCCTGTCCTCCCTCCCTCCCAATGTCCCCCGCCCTCCCCCCTCCCCTCCCCGCCCTAGCCCTGTCCTGCCCTCCTTCAGTCCTCCCTCCCTCGGCCCTCCCTCCCTCCCTCCCTCCCTCCCTCCCTCCCTCCCGCTCCCTCCCTCCCTCCCTCCCTCCCTAGCCCTTTCCTCCCTCCCTCCAGTTCCCCTCCCTCCCTCCCTCCCTCGCCTCCCGGCCTAGCCCTGTCCCTTCTTCTCTTCCCCCCCTTCCTCCCTGTCCTCCCTTTCTCCCTGTCCTCCCTCCCTCCCTGCACCATGCTCCCCAGCAGTAACTCCAGCTGACACGTATGAAAGGGACAGGATCCATCATGTCTGGCCAGACAGGACTGATGCGCTGGGAAAAGGCAGAGTGGACATACACACACACACACACACACCCTCAGATTCAGACTTTACAGAATGCACTGTGCATATCAGAGTAGAGCAGACACTGTGGATGCAGGCCCCCTTCCCAACCCAACCCTCAGATTCAACTATAGGCTACACATAATTAATATTTATAACATTATTGTTTTTCAGGAATACTAATCCATTTTAGATTACTGTAATTACTAAACCCTATCGTCTCAAATATATATATATATATATATATTCTGAAATGTCTGGGTAGAGGGATTGTTTTGGCAGTTGTCAAATATGTATCTTCTTAAGTGTCTGGGTAGAGGGATTGTTTTGGCAGTTGTTTACAAGCTGGCAGTCACATACTGTGTTCACTGCTCCATTTATATTTGATAATGTTTCATTATTCAAGCCTGCTTGTTCACAGTTGTCTCTCCTCTGCCTGCAATGGAGATGATGCGGTTGTGTGTGTGAGGCATCTACCACCAGTGTTTTTGAGGACAGAGTGAGTGATTGCTCTGGGCTAACAGAGGATAAGAATAAAGATTTGATAGGGAAGAGAAGGGAACATCAAAGGACCGGTTTGGTTTGTGGATTTAGCAGGACGGCTCTATCCATAGCGACTTACAGGAGCAATTAGGGTTAGTCCATTGCTCAAGTGCACATCGACAGATTTTTCATCACACTCTAGTCGGCTCGGGATTAGCCAGCGACCTTTCGGTTACTGGCACACACGCTCTAATCCACTGAGCCTACTGCCTCCTAGCTTCTCCCCGAGCTCTCCTCTCTCGCTCTCTCTCACTCTCGTCTCTCTCCTCTCCCTCTCTCGTCGTCTCTCATTTCTCCTCCACTCTCTCCCGTCGTCTCTCTCTCTCCTCCACTCCCTCTCTCTCTCTCTCTCTCTCTCCATCTCGCTTCTCTCGCTCGCGCTGCCCTCTGCTCTCTCTATCTTCTCCTCTCGCACTACTCCCCATCTCTCGTCCTCTCCTCTCTTCTCTTAGCTCTCGTCTCAGATCTCTCTCCCCCCCCTCACCTCTCTCTCTCTCTGCTGATCCTCCTCTCACCTGCGGAGGGGGGGGTCTCGGGGGGGAGGGGGGGCGGTCGTGTTCGGTGCCCTCGGTCTCGATCGGGGGGGTTGTGTCTAGCGCTGGGGGGAGAGTTGGATGCTCGGGAGGAAAGCTCCGGGGATTTCTGCTCTCGGGGGGGTCTCGGCTCTGGCTCTCTTCCTGTGTTGGGGGGGGTTGTGTGCGGTCGGGTTTTCCTGGGGGTGGGGGGTTTCCCGTGGTTTTCGGCCGTCGCTGGTTCCATCGCCTCTTTCTATCTATGTGCTTCTCGGTCGTTCTCTTCTCTCTGGACTAATGGGTTGGTTTTGCAGGTTCTGTTTTGTGTGTTGGGGCCGCGCGGCAGGGTGCCGTTTGGACGGATGGTGGTTGGTGTGGTTCTTTGTGCCACGCCTCCGTTTGGGACTAATGGGTGTGGTTTGCAGGTTCTTTGGCCGCCCTGCCGGGTTTTGGGGACTAATGGGTTGGTTTTGTTCCTTTGGCCCCTGCCGTTTGGGAGACGATGGGGTTCGTTTTGCAGGTTTCTTGTGGCCCGGTGTGCTGAAGGGGCCCGTTTGGACAATGGGTGGTTGGTTTGGGGGGGATATCTGTGGTGGGCCCCCTGTCCGTTTGGTACTACTGTGGGGGGGGGGGTTTTGTGTTGCATGTCTTTGGGCCCCCCTTGGTCCGAGTTTGAAGGGCTAATGGGGTTGGGTTCTGGGGGGGGGGGAGGGGGGGGTTCTTTGGCCCCCTGCCGTATGTTGACTTCATGGGGTTGGTTGGGGGGTGCAAGAGTTCGTTGGCCCCCTGCCGTTTTGGACTAATGGGGTTGGTTTGCAGGTTCTTTGGCCCCCTGCCGTTTGGACTAATGGGGTTGGTTTGTTCTTTGCCCCCCTGCCATTTGGACTAATGGGGTTGGGTTTTAGCACTATGCTGTGGCTTTGCCGCCCGCCGTTTTTGGACTAATGGGGTTGGTTTGCAGGTTCTTTGGCCCCCTGCCGTTTGAAAGCTCTGCACTCACATTGGAATACAAGAACACCCAATGACACCTTTCATATCTGATATCAGATGATGTCTCTCCTCTCAGATGGAGTTTTTTTTTCTCCAAAGCTATTTTGTTCGTAGGGTCTTTGTAACTGTTTGTTTTTTAGGGTTGTTTTATCGTCTAATGACCTTTGATGTTACGACGCAGACTGTTGTTGCCCTCATTACCCTAATGCTCATCCTTGATTCTCCTATTCAGAAACCATTTCCATTTAAATGCCATCTGTGTACATCGATGGATGACTCACATGGTTTATTATTGAAGCACGCACTGAACGCTCCTCTCGTCCCCATTGCACCCTATTCCCTATAGTACCCCTACTGGTGCCAGGACTTTATATGGCTCTGTAAGGGAATGGGTGTGCGTTGGGCTCTTTGGGTGGATGCGAGTTGGTGCGTGTCTTCTTCTGGGGAGCTGCTTGCTGTGCTGTGTTGTGAATGCACTGGAACATGCAACTCGAGGATGGAAGCCGTGGGGGTGGTTGTAATTTATTCCCTAGGGATAGTTGATGGCGGTACAGTAAGACATAGAATGCAGACATATGCCTCCATAGCAGGGGACTCACATATCCTACAGTACACTGGAGGTCAGAGACAGGCAGAGGTGACTGCACTATCACTGTACTGGGAAAAGCCGGGGATAGGGAGACCGGGGGGACGTAGTTGAGACAAGGGATGGAGAGGGAAGTGCAGGTGGATGATAGGGTGGGATTCGAGGTGGATGTGGAGGGTCTGATTCAGAGGGATGTGATAGGGAGTCAGGGATGGAGATGAAGTCAGAGGATGGGAGAGAGGAGCCAGGGATGGATGAGAGAGGGTCAGGATGGGGAGAGAGATCAGGATGGAGCGAGAGTCGTGGAGGGATGGAGAGAGAGTCGTGGTTAGATGAGAGGTCAGGGATGGAGAGGATAGTCGGGATGGAAGTAAGAGGGCTGTGAGAGGGGAGACAGTATGGAGAGGGAGACAGGGAGGGAGAGGGAGACCAGGGATGGAGGGAGTCGGGATGGAAGAGGGATCAGATGGAGAGGAGGTCAGGGATGGGAGGGAGTCAGGATTGGAGCGATAGTCAGGGAATGGAGAGAGAGAGAGGGATGGAGAGGGAGACAGGGATAGGAGAGGGAGACAGGGATGGAGAGGGAGACAGGGATGGAGAGAGAGAGGCGCAGTGGTCTAAGGCACTGCATCACATGCTTAACTGTGCCATAGAGATCCTGGTTCGAATCTAGGCTCTGTCGTAGCCGGCCGCGACCGGGAGAACCATGGGGCGGCGCACAATTGGCCCAGCGTCGTCCCAGGGTGGGGAGGGGAATGGCCGGCAGGGATGTAGCTCAGTTTGGTAGAGCATGGCGTTTGCAACGCCAGGTTTGGGGTTCGATTCCCATGGGGGGGCCAGTATGAAAAATTAAAAAAATATGTATGCACTCACTAACTGTAAGTCGCTCTGGATAAGAGCGTCTGCTAAATGACTAAAATGTAAATGTAAATGAGTCAGAGATGGAGAGAGAGACAGGGATGGAGAGGGAGACAGGGATGGAGAGAGAGACAGGGATGGAGAGGGAGTCAGGGGGAGTGAAACAGGTATGGAGAGTGAGTCAGGGATGGAGAGTGAGTCAGGGATGGAGAGAGATACAGGGATGGAGAGGGAGACATGGATGGAGAGGGAGACAGGGATGGAGAGGGAGACAGGGATGGAGAGGAAGTCAGGGGGAGGGAGTCAGGGATGGAGAGTGAGTCAGGGATGGAGAGGGAGTCAGAGATGGAGAGAGAGACAGGGATGGAGAGGGAGACGGGGATGGAGAGGGAGGCGGGGATGGAGAGGGAGACAGGGATGGAGAGGGAGGCGGGGATGGAGAGGGAGACAGGGATGGAGAGGGAGACAGGGATGGAGAGAGAGACCGGGATGGAGAGGGAGTCAGGGGGAGGGAGACAGGGATGGAGAGTGAGTCAGGGATGGAGAGGGAGTCAGAGATGGAGAGAGAGACAGGGATGGAGAGGGAGACGGGGATGGAGAGGGAGGCGGGATGGAGAGGGAGACAGGGATGGAGAGGGAGGCGGGGATGGAGAGGGAGACAGGGATGGAAAGGGAGTCAGGGGGAGGGAGACAGGGATGGAGAGTGAGTCAGGGATGGAGAGTCAGTCAGGGATGGAGAGTGAGTCAGGGATGGAGAGGGAGACAGAGGGAGACAGGGGGAAGAGAGAAAGGAGGTGGAGAGAGAGTGACGGTGATGGTAGTGATTTGTGGTAAGGTAGCTAGCCTTGAGTGCCAGAAATGCACTTTATAAATAACATTCACTATAATTTTTATTATTATGGAGGTAGGGAGAGAAATGGAAATGGGGGGAATGCAAATACTAGAGAGATGTTGTCTTTACACTGTTCTACTCACTTGGTTTGGTGCTGCTTCTTGATGTGTAGAATATGGGGTCTAAAAAAGGCAGTTCTCCGTTGGGCTGATCAGTGGAACCATGTCCCTCTCCTCTCCTCTCCTCTCCTCTCCTCTCCCTCTCCTCTCCTCTCCTCTCCTCTCCTCTCCTCCT